TAAAGTTTCAGTAAATTGTATTAGAAAATTATTTAAATTAAATAAAACAAACAAAATAGGTTTTCCAGCTACAATTATAATAATAAGGCCATGTTTGATTACAATGAATTTCATGAAAAATGTCACATTCGATGATAAAGAATTTCACTTTGACCGTTTGATTGCAACGTGGAAATAGAAACCGAATTCTAAAGTACAACTACTGTAAGCAGCATTTTCTTTGTTTTCATGGAAAACGAATTCCTATGAGTTTGGTGAGTTTTTATCTTCTAACTAGTATGAAATTGAAATTACTTTCCACATTTGCCTATCAAACGGACCATTAGAGAAATAATTGCTTCCGTTTTTCTTCCTCTTAGGGTTGCTTAGCACTAGTAAGACTAATAATTACCTGGCAAATCCAAAAATAACGCGTTCAAATTTTCAGACAAACAATCCAAAATAATTTGGCAGTTCCTTTTGTTCGACATTAACAACGTAAATTTCAAACTTAAGCCTCTCAGACAATGCCGTCTTTGGTCTGTACAATGGCATAGGCGGATAGGCGGGAATACCTATATTTATTCAACATTCCATACGTTGAAAAAAACTATCCGTCCATATAAATTCAGAGATTACATGCATGAATTATAAGCATTTCAGTAATCCCATTTTTTAGCAAATATTCTTTATGGCTTCTCAAACTTCTCATTCGCGGACTCTCCTCTTCATTACTCTCGTCTGCACTCTGCTGGTTAACTGCAGTGGAGAGTCTGATGCCAATGAAAAGGCACGTTTTGAATTTCTTTTCTCGTGTATATATCAACATGCACATGCATATATAAAATCTAGTCATGTTTGTGTAAATATACGTATGAAGAAAAAGACAATGAATTGTTAACTTTGTCACTAAAATATTAAGATTTGCATGCAGGTATTCATTGTATACATGGGTGATCTTCCCAAGGGAGATTTCTCTATTTCTTCAATGCACTTGAACATGCTACAATCAGTCATGGGCAGGTATGTATAGGAAATTTAATTATATATTGAACGTAATCCCTCAATCGGACTATGCCCCTGCGTTCATTGTTTCAAAACTCTTTTTTTTACGTACTTATTTTCAACTCGACATTCACACAATAAAATATTCTACACGTCAATTTAAAACATTTTTCAACTTTATAATTACACATTCTCCAAAAAATCACTATTCAAAACAATGTTTTTCCAAAAAAATGAGCACCATACCGGGCCTAGAAAGTCCAGTTTTTATTTTACCTTTAGCTGGAGGTCAAGTCGAGCCAGCTCCTAACTCTGGATTTTATTTTATAGTTCAAATTTATTTAAAATTGAACATGAGTATGTGTGTGATGGATTCAGTGAAAGGGCATCAAAATCTTGGCTCTACAGCTATAGTAAAAGCTTCAATGGCTTTGTTGCCAAGATGACCGAGGAAGAAAAGAAGATAATTGCTAGTATGCCAACTCTGAACTAATTAATTTGTGCATGAGTGGATTTCTTATGCATATACCCTAATTTTTATGTATTTAATCCAAACTCAGGCATGGAAGGAGTAGTTTCTGTGTTCCCTAGTACCAAAAAACAACTCCACACAACGAGATCATGGGACTTCATGGGCTTCCCTCAGGAAGTTAAAAGAACACAAATTGAGAGTGACATTATTATTGGAATGTTAGACACTGGGATTTGGCCTGAATCGGAGAGTTTCAGTGATGAAGGTTTCGGTCCTCCTCCAAGTAAATGGAAGGGAAGTTGCCAAGCCGCCTCTAATTTCACTTGCAACAAGTAAGCTGCCTCAATTATGCAGTTAAAATTATAATACCGTGTTGTGCAAAAATCACTTTTTGCTATGATTCCTACTTGGTGAACCACCTTTATCTAAAAGCATAAGCCGTTAGAGCCTCAACTTCTCTAACACAATCATGATTTTGCAGCAAAATAATTGGAGCGAAATTTTATCATAGTGAAGGAAACATTAGCTATCCCGATATTCCGTCACCTAGAGATTCCGAGGGCCATGGGTCACACACGGCATCCACAGCGGCTGGAGCCCTCGTGAAAGGGGCAAGCTTGTTGGGTCTTGGCACGGGAACAGCTCGAGGAGGGGTGCCTTCTGCACGTATTGCAGTGTACAAAATTTGCTGGTTTGATGGTTGTTCGGATGCTGATCTTCTTGCAGCGTTTGATGATGCAATTTCTGATGGAGTTGACATAATTTCACTTTCAGTAGGAGGGTCTTTTCCTTCAGATTATTTTGATGATCCGATCGCCATTGGTGCATTCCATTCTATGAAAAATGGAATACTCACGTCAAATTCTGCTGGTAATTCAGGCCCTGATCCTGAATCCATTACAAATTTCTCACCTTGGTCCCTTTCAGTTGCTGCGAGTGTCATAGACAGGAAATTCTTGGCACAGGTCCAGTTGGGAAATGGCAAAACTTATGAGGTGAAAAAAAAAATAATTAATATCACACAGTTATTTTTCTTATTGAAATTTGATATACACCCAGTTATGTAATTAAACTTTTAATTTCAGGGGGTTTCCGTAAACACATTTAATCTCAAAGATGAGATGTACTCATTAGTCTATGGTGGAAATGTACCTGCACCAGGTGTTGATGGCTCCGAATCAAGGTAGAAAGAATATAGAAAAAAATCATCAAGAAAGTAACTAATTTTCATTATTCTTTGTTTCGATTTCTATGGTGAATATTAATGATGCATAAATGTAGGTATTGCGATCCCGACACATTAGACAAAAAACTGGTAGAAGGAACCATTGTCCTCTGTGATACATTAGGTGATGGAGAACCAACACTAGTCGCTGGTGCAACCGGAACTATAATGCAAGATGACGGATTCAAAGATTTTGCCTTCTCCTTTCCCTTATCGGCATCGTACTTGGCATCAACTGATGGTACCGAAGTTTTTAACTATATCAACACGACAATGTAAATATATAATTCACATCACCCTCCTTTTCATTTCTCCACACAATTTATATTTTAGCGTACTTTTACAAAATTTAAACTAAATATATATATATATCGTTAACAATGCAGCAATGCGACCGCTATAATTCTTAAGAGTGTCGAAGCACAACAGAAATCAGCCCCCTTTGTTGTTTCCTTCTCGTCAAGAGGACCAAATCCAATTACAAGAGACATCATCTCGGTATGAGACTTCCCATAAGGATGGAGTCTTGGCCTTCGACCTAAGTTCGATAGCTGAATTGAATAAAATAATATTACAACAGTACGATATATTAATTTTTCACTAATTAAATTAGTTACCTTTTTGCATTCATGTAGCCTGATCTAAGTGCACCTGGAGTTGACATTGTTGCTGCATGGTCAGAAGCAACTACAGTTACTGGATTGGAAGGAGATACTAGAGTTGTTCCATACAACATTATATCTGGAACATCCATGTCTTGTCCTCATGCCACCGGAGCAGCTGCTTATGTTAAATCCTTTAACCCAACCTGGTCTCCTGCTGCTATCAAGTCTGCTTTGATGACAACTGGTAGTTAATTCCCTTCTTTGAATACTTCCCCATTTAATGGGCTAAAATTTAGAGGGTTGTGATTATTGAGAATTAAAAACTCTAATTATATTCCACCGACAGCGATCAATTAAAAATAAGAATTAAAGAAACGAAAGATTTAGATGTTCACCCCAATGTTACACTACGTCCTCTTTTGTCGCTGCAGTAATTCACTATGTTAAAAATTACAAGAAAAAATCGTACACCTATATCATGCAACCTCTCTTTCTTTTTTATGATGGCAGTACAAAAGCACAATGACGGTTCCTATTTACAAGACAAATTAGGGCAAAATCAAAATTCATAAGGTCAATTTGCATGCTGAGTTACAATAATTAGGTTCCACAACTTAACATTGATACTGTAACAGAAAGTAATCAATGTTCTCTTTAATTTCTCCAGCTACCCCAATGAATGTGACAATGAACACAGACGGCGAATTTGCTTACGGTTCCGGTCATATCGATCCAGTGAAGGCTAAAAGTCCCGGTTTGGTATATGATTTGGGAGAAAATGACTACATCAAATTTTTATGTGGGCAAGGTTACGACACTACGCAATTGAGTCTTATTACTGGAGATAACAGCACTTGCACCCAAGCTAACAACGGCACAGTGTGGGATCTAAACTATCCTTCCTTTGCGTTATCTACAACCTTTGGTGCTTCTATTACCCGTGTCTTCCATCGAATAGTCACAAATGTTGGTTCGCCAGTATCCACGTACACAGCAGTTGTTGGGGCGCCATCCGGACTCAGTATTAAGGTTGTACCTTCTGTTCTTTCTTTCAAATCTGTTGGACAAAAACAAACATTTGTTGTTACAGTTGAAGCAAATTTGAGTTCGAGCAGGTTGTCTGGTTCTTTGGTGTGGGATGATGGAATGTATCAAGTGAGGAGTCCAGTCGTCGCCTATGCTGCCTAATGTTTTAAGTGTGATTTTTATGTTCAATAATTGAAATTTGTTCCACTTACATATGTCAAGAATTCTATAACTTATGTGATGAATAGTTGCTCAAAAGTTGCAATGATTTGTAATATCATGTTTCTGAATATTGAAATAATTGACATCTTAACATTATTTTATATTTTATACGAATTAGATTGAAAAACTTTTAAAAAACAAAGCGGGAAATTTGTGATGGGATCATGTTCTTCATCTCGGCCCGCATGCTATTCAGGACAGGTCAGGACCCACAAGCAATGCTTTCAGTCTCTAAACTGGCCTTGATATGGTGGAGGTTATATGAGAGAACCATAATCCATCCACAACCAATTTTTACCAGATATTTATACAGACTTGATGAAAAAAAGCAACCATATTTTATTCAATTTAGCCCAAAATCCAACTGATATCAAAACTGGTCTAGACCCATGAGATTTGACAACTTGAAGGATGACCCAATTGTTGTCTCCCTTGGTTCAAAAAACCCAACTGCCTATGCCCCAAGAAAACTCTCTTTTAATTTCAAAACTTTTTGCCTAGATGGTGAGTTTCTTCACTAGAAAAATGACTGATTTTCATATTATCACACATTTTCATCTAATTATTCTCCTCTGCAAGTCCTAAACATAGCAAATTTCCTTAAAACTCGTAAAATCTCGATTATTTTAACTTCTTTTTCATAATACTGTTCCATCCATACATGGGACGAAGACGGACATAGTATTAAGATGATCTCATTACATTGTTAGCTAAACAACTTTTATCCTTTGTCACAATATCTGTGAATTTTAAGATGAGGGTCATCAAGCGCATAGAGTGAACTGAAATTCGACAAGATTAAAGCAAATAAAATTATAATGTATAGAAATTGCTATTGATAGAGCACAAAGTCAGCAGAGTATTATTAGAGAGTTTTATTCTTTCTTTAATTGTAATTCTATTATAATTGTCTCCCTCTATCGTGAATAGAGCTTGATCATCTTGCCTACCCTAGCTGTGTTCCTTCCTTCTTATCACAGCAATGGAAGAATCCCAGACTCCTGTCACAAAAGCAACAGCCTCAGCAACAGTGTCTGAGCCGGCGATCGTCTCAATACCTATAAATGCTATGGTTGATGGTAATATGTTTCCTGCCAATGGAAACGTAATATCTCTTAATGCCTCCTCTTAGATTCCCTTCAAGCTTGCAAAAAATGATGGAAATTATTCACCGTGGAAGTCCCAGATGACCAATCTTCTCTTTGGCTATGGACTCTTTGGGTTTGCTGATGGAACTTATCCTTGCCCACAGAAAACTGATTCTGGATATTCTTTCTAGACTCGTCAGGATCGATAGGTGCTACTTGGAATTCAGGCCACTGTTCACAGCACAATCATCCCGATGATAAACAACTGTACCACCTCTGCAGATGCCTGGAACAAACTGGAAACGAGTTTTGCTAACCGTTCAAACACTCGAATGCTCTCCATTATATCATCTTTTATGTTAAACAAGAAGGAAGGAAAGATAGTGGCTACATATATGAGTAGGNTCATCTTTTATGTTAAACAAGAAGGAAGGAAAGATAGTGGCTACATATATGAGTAGGGTGAAAAGCCTTACTAATGATCTCGTAGCCATTGGACACCCTCTGAATGATGCTCAAATCATGTCCTATACTTTGAATAGATTGGGTGATGAATTTAAAGAATTAATGGTAGCGATCCACCTTCGTGACACACCTATCACCTTTGAAGATCTCTATAATAAATTGCTTGATGAGGGATTAATTCACAACCATGGAGAGGCAAAGGAAGAAGATGTTCAAGTCACTGCACAGCTAACACAAAAATATCGTGGTGGTCGAGGAGGACATCGTAGTGGTCAAGGAAGCTATCGTGGTGGCTACAGAAACAATACTTAATGGTTCAGATAGCAATTTATATGGACAGAATTCTCAGCCTAATCATATGCAAACCAGTCGGCAGCGACCTTATTTATCTCCAATCATACTCACCTTCACAGAATCCAAATCTTTATCAGAGGAACCAAGGCCAACCTCACATTATCTGTCAATTGTGTGATAAACCGGGACATAGTGCAAGGACCTGTCGCTCTCGTGGACAGTCTTCTTCTCATTCTTCTTGGCCTCAAGTAAATCTTGCCGAAGGAGAACTAAGTTATTCCAATAACAATTGAGTTTTGGACTCGGGAGCCACACATCATATTACATATGATCTCCATAATCTCTCTATGCACTCCTAGTATGTTGGAAATGAGGATGTTGTAGTAGGAAATGGTAATGGCATATCTATCTCTCATGTTGGTTCTTCTTCAATTGATTCCCATGATATCTCCTTTACATTAGACAATGTTTTGTGTGCCCCTTTAATAAAAAGGAACTTAATATCTGTTTCCTAATTCTACAAACAAAATAATACTTCGATTGAGTTCTTTCCTAACTATTTTCTTGTGAAGGACTTGAATACAGGGGCATCCTTGGCGAAAGGCCGGAGTAGACACAACTTGTATGAGTGGTCATCCTCAGCCTTAACTACGAAGCCGTCCTACCTCACTCCTTCTGCCTCAGTTGCTCTCTCTTCTCAACTATGGCACCAACATCTTGGTCATCCTTCTCCCCCAATTCAAAAGAAAATCCAAGTTGACAGTAAAATTCCTTCAACAGTTTCCCCTACAAATAAAATTTATGATTCTTGTATTTGTAACAAAAGTCATAAACTATCATTTCGAAATTCTTCTATTATCTGCAATAAACCATTTCAAGTTATTTATTCAGATGTTTGCGGTCCTACCCCTGTGACCTCGTTTGGATATTTCGATATTATGTCATTTTTATAGATTACTTCACAAAGTACACCTGGTTCTTCTAAAGTTGAAATCTGATGTACTTAAGGTTTTTGATAACTTTTAACAAACTCATTGAAAACTACTTTCACACAAAAATTAGAACTGTATACACAGATGGTGGTGGAGAGTATCAGGCACTTTCTCACCACTTAATCCAACATGGAATCCAACATCTTACCTCTCCTCCTGAAACACCTGAACATGTCGGCTCTACTGAACGTAAACATCGTCACATTGTGGAAACTGGCCTCATGGTTCTCCACAATACTGCTGTCCATCTTCGTTATTGGTATTATGCTTTCCAAAGTGCAATATACTTCATTAATAGAATACCTAAACCAGTTCTGAACCATGATATACCTTATCAGAAATTATTTGGCCATAAACCCAAATACACTTCCCTAAGAGTCTTTGGATGTCTCTGTTACCCTTGGCTTCGCCCATATAACACCCATAAACTCGGACCTCGCTCATGACCATGTGTGTATCTCGGCTTTTCCCTTTCTCATCACTCATTTTTGTGCTTTGATCCTCCCTCAAATCGTCTCTTTGTATCTAGACACGTTGTCTTATTTGAGAAACTATTTCCTTACAAAACTAACTGATATCCTGACCTAAGCATCTCTTCAAAAACATTTTCAAGGTATCTATCAATTTTTACCGACAAGAACTTAGACCACATCAGAGCTCTCGCCGAAGATGATCCTGACTCTATCGTCCTAACGCCCTCCGCAGCACACTTGCTCCCAAAAACTCCATCTACCCATCCATTACCTGCTCAACAAGTTGTTTCCACTTCGGTCTCTCCTAAGGTTGCTTCCCAACACTCTCCAACACAAGTAAGTAGTTCATCTTCTCCCTCTACCACATGTACAGATCCTAACCTTGCAGAATCATCCTCCCCATGCCACAAAATCAACCAAACTGTCCAACAAACTGAAGCTATTCATTCCCCTTCATATCAACCAGATATACCATCTCGCATGGTCGCTCTTTCTCATTTATTATAGATGTTTGGTTTTGTTTCCTTCTCCTTAAATACCACTATCTCTCCCCCCTCCCTTTCCCAAATAGAACCTTCATCATTCACCCAGGCCAACAAGCACTCTCATTGGCGTGATGCTATGAAAGATGAATTTCTTGCTCTTCTGAAAAACAAAACTTGGTCCCTTGTTCCACTCTCTTCTACACAAAACATTGTCAGGTGTAAATGGGTCTATCGGATCAAGAGGAATCCAGATGGCTCTATTGCTCGCTATAAGGCACGTCTTGTGGCAAAGGGGTTTCATCAACGATCGGGAATTGACCTTACAGAAACTTTTAGCCCAGTTGTAAAACCAGCTACCATTCGCCTTGTTCTAACTATTACTGTTACTTGTGGTTGGGTTTTGAATCATCTAGATGTTAATAATACCTTCCTACAAGGCATTCTATTTGAATGTGTTTTTATGCAGTAACCTCAAGGATTTGTTGATCCTCGATATCCTTCTCATGTTTGTAAATTACATAAAGCAATCTATGGTCTTCGTTAAGCTCCTTGAGCATGGTACAATGAACTTCGTTCGTTTCTCCTTGCCTATGGATTTATTAACTCTAAGAGTGATACCTCTCTCTTTATCTACACTTCAGGAACTCGTATCATGTGTACTTGCTTGTATATGTGGACGACATTATACTCACCAGTAATCACCCTCCAACTCTTCATGAATTCACCAGTCAGCTCTCCAACAGGTTTTCTCTCAATGATCTTGGCAAGCTCAGCTACTTTTTGGGTGTTGAAACAACTCGGACTTCCAATGGTTTGCTCCTATGTCAACGAAAGTATATTCTAGAGCTTCTTCAGTGAACTAATATGCAAGAGGCAAAGGAAGTTAGTACTCTACTGTCCAATTCGGAAATGCTTAAACTTGATGATGGTTCCTCTGGACATGATCCAACTGAGTATCGTCAAGTACTTGGCTCACTTCAGTATCTCTCTCTTACACGGCCTGATGTTAGCCATGCTGTTAACAAGTTGGCTCAATTCATGCATAAACCAACTTCTAGTCGTTGGCTTGCTATTAAACGAGTTCTTCGGTATCTCAAGGGAACCTCCCATTATGGTGTTTTCATTTCAACTCAATCCCCTCTTGCACTTCATGCCTTTCCCCATGCCGACTGGCTGGTGATGCTGATACACGTCACTCTACATCCGCCTATGTTGCATTTCTTGGCTCCAATCCTGTTAGTTGGAGCTCTAAGAAACAATCCACTATAGCCCGCTCCTCAACTGAGGCCTGATGCTGATACACGTCACTCTACATCCGCCTATGTTGCATTTCTTGGCTCCAATCCTGTTAGTTGGAGCTCTAAGAAACAATCCACTATAGCCCGCTCCTCAACCGAGGCCGAATATCATGCCATTGCTGCTGCTACTGCTGAGGTGAATTGGCTCACTAACTTGCTGCGTGAACTTGCTGTATCAGTTCCAGCTCCTCTAACAATCTACAGTGACAACGTTGGAGCCACCTACTTATGCTCCAATCCTATTTTTCACTCACGTATGAAACACATTGCCATTGACTTTCATTTTGTGTGTGATCAAGTTGCTTCGCATTTCACATGTTCATACTACGGACCAACTTGTTGACTCTCTCACTAAACCTCTAGCTCGAAAGCAGTTCCTAATTCATCGATCCAAGCTTAGTGTCCTTCCCGGACCCTTACGCTTGTGGGGGCATGATATTGCACAAAGTTAGCATAGTATTATTAGAGAGTTTTATTATTTCTTTAATTGTGATTCTATTATAATTGTCTCCTTATTTAGCTGATTCTATTTGCCATTGTATAGACAAAATTAGTGGTATTG